CATATACAACAGAGGCAGACTGGAGGCTTATGATGCGGTCATTGTTGTGTTCAGGAATCCTACTTAAAACGGCATCACGATTTGCCTACACAAAAACCAAACAGTACATACATCACATATGTGGCCACTTGGCATTGACTTGCAATTTTTTTTTTTTTTTCAGGCAGGGTCATGTGATAGAAATTTAGATTGTGGAAAGATTTCTCTCAATCTGTCTTGTGTAAATTAATGTGATTTCTACCTGAAACCCAGACCAGTCATTAACATGTGTAAAGGTTCATCAGGCACAACTGTCTCCGCCTTCAGGAAGCCTTTTGTTATCATCAACTGTATGTTCATTTAGCACCAGCCTCTGAAACCAAAGTCACTCTGCATTGATATGTATGCAACTTGAGGGGACATGGGGGAGACAGGGTGAGAGGCTGTTGGGCTTTGGCCGAAATAGACCTAGGCCCTGTCCATATCTGCTGTAACAAGAATAAACCTTGGTCTATATTCCAAAAACTCATCGGGCTTCACAAATGGATTCATTATTTATCTTCAAGAGATATATATAATTTTTGAGACAACAATTTGGTGTCAAGAACTGTGATCCACGAGTGACCGTCCAGAACACAGTGCAAATGGAATTTTGTCAGCTTTTGTTTTTTCTCGGATGCATGGAGCAAAGAAAGACATGGATGGACATTGGCTTTCTCTCCTGGATCATCACCGCTGGATTCGAACAGTGCTTGGTGAGCTTTTGCAAAATAGACTTTATTTCAAGATAATTTAATGGAAATCATCTCAAACACTTAATGTTCAAAGGACAGTGTGCCTCCTATTGGAGTTAAATGGACTTTTGAAACATGCAACTAACCCTATTCCTATAAAAAATCTCACAAAAAATTCTCATATTTCAATTCCTCAATTGACCCTCTTTCAATATTTTTGGCTCAAAAATCTCAGCTGCAACTACAGTGTCAACAACAAAGACCATCCCCGCTTTTAATTTCCTCACCTTTGGGACATTCTAGACCGCTCTGCCACTGAAACTAACTGCTATTGGAAGTTACAAGTGCAAAAACAAAATGGGGAGCAACTTGAAGGGAGTATACATCCAAGAAGGTTCCATTGTAGATTTTTTGAGAGAAACATGGAGATAAGAAGTCTTCAAGAATTGTTTCTTAAAGAAATTTCCCCCAAAAGTGAGTTATTTCTCGAAAAAGAAAAAGTAAGATCAATACTTGTGACACTTGTTCCATTAAATATAAATACCCTCGCCTCCAAACCGAGCAACCTTTTGACAAATTTCTCACTATGATTATTCAATTTCCCACTCAAATATGACCTCTCAAAGCTGGCTAGAACCATATAATAGAAGTCATTTAATTTTTTAAATGTAATGCAATGTAAATTTAACTGTCCCCATTATCTACATCAATAATTAGTCCCAGTAAGACCGTCATATTCACACAGAAGCACCCAATGCCTCACTTTTTTTGTTCCCCAAATCTACAAAGTTGGGGCACAGATCATTTCAGTACAAGGCCTCTTCAGACTGGAATAGACACCCACACCCTTAAGAACTTACATATACATACATACAACTAACATATTTCAATTCATTTTAGTCATCTTTGTTTTCATACCTCAAAACTCCTTGTTTATATTTTTAGTTTGTATTTTTAATTTTCAGTTTGTTCTATTATTATTTTTCTATTTGTTTATATCATTGTTATATAATGTGTATTTAAATTTTTTTGAATTCAGGTACTGTTGCCGGGAAGAGGCCCTGGGAAAGACCCAGGACACTCTGGAGGGACTATGTCCTGTATGGTTGGCCTGGTAACGCCTTGGGGTTCCTTTCCTTTGGAGGAGCTGGAGCAAATGTCCAGGGTGAAGGAAGTCTGGGAGTCCCTGTTAAGACTGCTGCCCCTTTGACCCAACCCCGGATAAGCGGAAGAAAATGGATGGATGTACTGCTGCAAGAGTTGGGAGGAGGGCATGAGTCTGATGGGTCTGTCTGGGTCGTCTGTCTGCGTGGGTCTGTCTGCGTGTCTGTCGTGGGTGCGTGGGTCTGCGTGGGTCGGTCTGTCTGGGTGCGTGGGTCGGTGCGTGGGTGCGTGGTCTGCGTGGGCTGCGTGGGTCTGCTGCGTGGGTCTGGCTGCGTGGGTCTGGCTGCGTGGGTCTGGCTGCGTGGGTCTGGCTGCGTGGGTCGTGGGTCTGCGTGTGGGGTCTGGGTCTGTCTGCGTGGGTCTGTCTGCGTGGGTCTGGCTGCGTGGGTCTGGCTGCGTGGGTCTGGCTGCGTGGGTCTGTGCATGTTTTATAATCTAAACCTGTAAGCTTTGTATTCTGTTTATTGTATTATGCATTACTAATGCTCTGTGTTATTGGACCCTCTTCAAAACAAGATGGCACATCTCAGGGGGTATTCCAGTAAAATAAATAAATGATAAAAATTAAAGAAAGAAATTCTTGGTCGACTAAAGACATGTCTAAAAAGGGGGTGAGGTAAAAGCTCTCAGGACAATGACGTTACCAATGTATCTGACCTAGATACTGCAAACTGTGCTCAAAAGTCAAAAGACATCAATTTATGCAGAAAAAACCCCAGCAAACAACGCATTTATACACAGAGTGTACATGTTAAGCTGCAATTTTTTTGATTCATTGGTTAAAATGAAAAGTAAGAAAATGTTTATCAAACTAAAATATAATAAACAGGTTATGATATTTGAAACAGCTTCTATGGAAATTTCATCGTTTGTTCTACCTTTTTCTTCTTGGGTGCCTCTGCTCGCCCCAGCAGCACCGCCTGATGTTTGACGACTCCATTGGCATTGAATATAATGAGCTCCCGAACGCCACCCTCTTCAACTGGAGTCCATGTTATAGTCAAAGTGAACGATCCGTCACCCTGAAAAATAAACAGAATGTATTATTTATTTAGTACAGTGTTTCTCATTTAAAGAGGGGATTATGGTACATTCCTATATTCTATACTCAGTCATTAAGCTCATTTTTATCCAACACCTTATTGTTGCAAGCCTTCATTTTATTTTACAATAGATTATATTTACTGGTGTTGTCATGATGCTAAACTTGATTAGAAATAAAGTGATTTTCAACATTAAATCATCGTACTGTCTTTTATATTCCCATCTGAATTTATATCTCTGTAATCCCTCAGTGGTCCAGGTACTTTCCATAGTGGTCCATGGGCGTATACTAGTCTATGTGCACTTATAATTGTTCTGATACAGCTCAATATCATTCTAAAGCTATTCAAGAAAATAATACATTTCTGTCCTATGCTTTTTAGTATCGATACCTGCTCAAAGGAGTATTTAGTATCGATTAGTATCTGATTTTTGATACTTGTTACAGCCCTAATACTTATTATTAGCATTTGTTACACCATATCACCAAAGCAAAATTCCTAAATTGTGTTTGCTGACAATAGAAATAGAACTTACTGACTCTGAAAAACAAGCTTTACTATGAACACACTTTGCTGCCCATGGTATCATCACAAGCATTTAAAAGTAAGTAGAAAAAGACTTTTTAAAGATTAAATATAGGCAATAAGCAGCATTTAAAACTGCACAATTTATGAGATTCAGTTATTCACATGAAAATCATTTGTGCAAAGTCTGTGGGGAAATGGTAACGCCCAGTATTCAGTCATCAGATTACAAATAACAGAATTTTTATTGTGCATTGGATCTCTCATCACATTTGAACTGCAAATTTAGGAAGAAACTTACAGTGGTGTAAACAACAATATATATTATTATGTGAAAGACTAAAAAGGTGCATTAATAGTGAGACAATAAAGGCGTGTGTATAAGGACAGCAGCAACATTATAACTTGATTTTTAATTGTGTAACTTTTTGGTTGAGGGTCCTTCACCTGCTTGTTTCTATGGATATGTCATTGCTCTGCTAGGAAAGTTCCACAGTATGACATTAAACAGCTCTATGTTCCATTTATTCAGTTACAGGTGGTTTAATAGCTCAAAAATACCCACAAGTTGTCAGATCCTTCACTAGAAAAGTTACACAATGCACATCTAAAAGTTCTGCAAGGAATAACATTAAAACAACGAGGATTAACACTAAGCAGGACAACTTTACACATTATTTGAATAGAATTTTAGCCGTAGGTAACGATCCTGGTTTACTACTGAGCTTCTTGCAACTTACCTCTATAGTAAACCTGTTATGATCCACAGAAAACCCTTTACTTGATGCTATTTTCTCAACTACCACCTCCGCTTCGACATCTTCATTTGGGTTTTCAATGCGTAAAACTGCAGATTTGGACGTCCCGAGCTTCACTGCCCCAAAACTCACAAAAGGAGCCTTGGAAAATTGTATCAGGTTCAAAACAGGAGTATCGTTTTCTTTATCCGCTTCGTCTTTTCGTATCGGGCTAATGTCCCAAAATCCTTTCCCGGTCGTGGTGGTCATCATGAACGGCTAGGATAAACGCAAGATCATTTCGATGAGATAAAAAAACGTTAAAATCCGTAAAGTCCGTAGCTAGCGTGCAGGAGAAAGCATGATTTCCTTCATCACGATGTTGTATGAGTGTGAAGCCAGTTTGAAATTGAACCGAGGTGAACAGACAGCCAATCAGAAGAGACGTTAGACACGCGCTGACCAATCACAGAGCAGTATGAGCACAATCCGTATGAATACAGCGAAAACAGCCAATCGCAGGCTGAATCCGGTTTAAACTGCCTCACAAGCCCCTCCCTGAATATGATCGTTACAAGACAGGTGACGCTCGCTTTATTTATATTTTCTAAAAGGGGAAACAACATTAAATTGTCTTCTTTTGGATCCATGAACCATTCGTACTTTTGAATTTCAATTAAGAACGAAAAAAAATAAAATGGGTAAAAATGTTATTGCATTATTCCGTTTTAGTGTCAAAAAACAAATAAGTAAAAATTTAAAAAACAGTTATCGTGCCACACATCATATTTCAGTTTTGATATTTTATTCTCTTCTAGCAGCATAACTTCCGAGGCATATAAACCAAAGAGATTTTTTTTAAATTTTGTATTTATTTATTTATTTTTAATTTTTTTTTTTGCTTTTATTATTATTATTTATTTATTTATTTTTTTTTGGACACTAAAGCGGCATAATGAAATCACAAACTATTTTCCCATTTTACTTTTTGTTCTTCATTGAAATTCAACAGAACGAATGGTACTCGGACCTCTCTTACCCTCAAATTCGCAATTATACTATGAATAGTTAAACTTACAGCAGCCCACTAAATAAGTGCGTCCACATTTATTCCCAAAAATGTTCAGTTAGAACCTCGTCTCGATACGCTTTCCACGCTGTCTGGATTCCTGCGCCGCACCATTCTGTATGATCTGTTTGTCAGACCTCATCAGTCCATGCCAGAGACCGTATTTATATGACTTTAGCGTACATTTGTGTCATTTGATCTCACGCACATTCACGCCCCAGGGTAGCTCGCCGTGATCGTATAGTGGTTAGTACTCTGCGTTGTGGCCGCAGCAACCCCGGTTCGAATCCGGGTCACGGCAGAATTTTGACACACAATTTATGGACATATTTCCGTGAAAGTGAAGCTACTTTCCGAAATCTATTCTGAACGACGGAATATACATCAGAAAACAGGGCCATAATTGGGTGAAGGTGGATGCAAATCTACTGATCTTTTAAATACTACTATATCGGGTTTGTAACTATAACTATATAAGAAACCGATAAAATGCTGATGTTAAAATTCTATTAACATTTTTACACCTAGTATCACCCATTCATTCATTCATTCATTTAAGATTTTATTGTCACTGTTATAGAAAAACAACTGGACTTAGACTTAAACAAACGTTA